CCCCGCCTCCCCCCCCCCCCCCCCCCATTTCTTTTCAACGTCTGTCACACAGTTTTATTAGGGGGGAAAAAAACAACTACAGCTTGAGTCAGTGTGTGTATGTGAAAATGTGTGCGCATGAATACATACGGCCAGGTTTCATTGTCCTAAGCTCAGGCAGCATCGCGATGAAAGAATATCAGGTCTAGATAGGTTTCTTTTATTCTCTCTGTAAACCAAAGAACTAACAAATCCTGCTGCAACTGGGTTGCGACTTATGGAAACATATTCAGCCCCAGTGAGTGTGAAGTGTAATTTAGGGTCCAATCAATTAAAGATTTGACTTGAATTCCCAGGACACAGCACTCGGAGCCAACTTTCTCAGAGCATGTGTTCCAATCCTATTTTTTTCTTCCCTTATGTCGGTCTAATTTTTGCATTCCGATTTTCTCTTCTTAAGTGAGCAAGGGACAGTTCTGATGCAATATGCAGGAGGAAAATGGTGGGCAGTGCACTTGTAAAGGTCTATTTATACCCAGGCATTTAGGGCCGGTGCACACCTAGGCAACACCTCACCGCGTGGCAAACGTGCATGATTCTGCGCGTATTGCCGAGCAGTCAGGAGTCGCCTAGGTGTGCACCGATCGCGCTGTGGGTGCCATTATTTTCTATTGGCACCCCAGTCGCACCGGGCGGTTTGCGCAGTTTCCTGCCACGATTCCGCCCGTGCTTCCAAACACCAAAACAGCCGCGGTGGTGTATTGCAAAAAAAAGTTACATGTACCTTTTTTCTGCGATTGCAGCGCGGATGTCACCCCATTGAAATCAATGGGGCCACGCGGCAGACCGCACGATCCCGGATCGCGTAGGTCTGCACCGGGCCTTACAAACAAAGTTTCATAAGCACAGGCACTTTTGTTAGGAAGGGCTCCATATGCCGTATTATGTGTATCAATTAAAAAATTAAAACACACACTATGCTCCAAAATTTTAATACAGCAAGAAAATTGAAGCAGATCTGAGAACGAACCAACACTAATACTGTTGGAAAAATGTTCAGGAAAATTCCATTCATGACATATGTGAATAACTACACCCTATATTCCACTCAAAGCTTTTCTAGCTTATCATGGCTGCTATAAAAATGAGATAACAAGATGTTTTTTTTTCTTCACATCTATCAGGAATTCCAGGAGTGAGGTTTGCCCTCCAGATTGTACTTTCCAACCACCATGGCCTTTACATATCCAAATAATGGTATGCTGGTTCCCAGATGGGTCTGCAGTGCACTGTAAAATACATATATAACAGTGGTGCATCTGGACTATGTACTCCTCAGTTATGGACCCATGGCAAAGCGATGGGGTGACAAAATGTACTGCTAGGAAATCTCTTTATTGCACTCTCTAAGGCCCGGTTCACACCTGGGCGTTTTGTAGCGCGTTCGAACGCTCTGCAAAATGCTCAAACACCGAAATCCCATTATTTCCTATGGGTATGGTTCACACCTGGGCGTATTACAGGCCGTATGAATGCGCTACAAAGCATCCTACGCCCAAAGAAGTACAGGAGCTTCTTTGGGGCGTTTTTGTCGCGCGTTTCCATTGGGATACAGCCAAGTAGCCCTTGGAAACGCGCGTTTGTCGCACGGTTTTCTTTACCGCGAATCGCAGTAAAAACGCGTGTCACGAAACGCATGACAAACGCGCATATTTGATACGCCTAGGTGTGAACCCAGCCTTAGACAGTGGTTCTCAACCTGTGTAACCTCAGAGCTGACAGTGCTGCTCTAGGCTGAGGAGGTTCTCAACAAGCGCAGTGGAGAGTACACAGCGACCCACTGAACACAGGGTCGTGACCCACCAGTTGGAAACCACAGCTCTAAGATATAAAATAAAACAGTGCATCATTCAAGAATTTAAATATCAGTGAGTTCATTTTAAGGTGTTCACACTGTGAAGCTTTTTAGACCCAAACTTTATATAGAAACCATTAAACATTAGGTGACTGCATTCCAAATGGGCTGCATTTGGATGGATTGGGTAACGATTCCTTTGCCAATGAGCACTTTCCAAGGCTTGGAAACACTGCTGGCTAATTTACCTCTGTAAGCCAACAGTCCGGGGCAAACAGACATTCATGCTGGGGGAAGGACCTATGCATGATCATATTCCATGGAACAAAAAGTTCTCTTGGTGCCACCAAAAGATAATTGATAAACATTAAAGTGGCACTAAACTCAAGAGTTAAACATGTATTGAAGTACATGTATCGTGGCACCACGAGCAAATGCAAAGATAAATTGAACTTCAGAGTTTATTGCTACTTTAAGAAGTAAAGGGGTAGGATGGAAAATCAGATTCACAATATGTGCATATTGGTTATAGATTACACTTTGCTGCCATCCCAGTATAATCCATTCAAGTTTCAGATTCGGCTATACAGTAATACCTCGGTTCACGAACGCTTTTGTTCGCAAACAATTCGGCTCACGACCAGGAAGTTCGGCAAAATTTTGCTTCCGTTCGTGGTCGTGGCTTCCTCTAGACGAGATCGCGGTCGCAGACAGACCTGTGCACACTTGCTGTGAAGCTTTTTTGTGTGCTTTTTAGCACATACAGTACTGTACAGTATTATTCAATCCAGCATGGCTCCAAAGAAAGTGCAGAGCGGTAATGGAGGTGACAAGGACGTGCAGAGTGGTAATGGAAAAAAATAATTTACATATGGTTTAGCACCGAGTAAATAAGGTTATTATTTACATTAAACCTTATGGAGAAATTTGATTCTGTTCACGACCAATTCAGTTAGGGGCCTGAATCGTGGAACGAATTAAGTCCGTGAACCGAGGTACCATTGTATATCCTGAATGGATAAAGAAAATCCTGATAGTTTACAAAATTAAAAGTTTTAGTATAAATGCAGCTTTCTTGCTCTTCTACCATCATCATTTTGTAGACATCAAAAGCACTTTATAAAAAAAAAAAAAGTCAAGCCTTTGATGTGGATAATACACTAAGTATTAGCCTTCATGCTAACAGCAATGAAACTAGCATTTCATCTCAATGTGCTGTCACAGAGAACAGCTATTACTAATGGCAGTTACACCACAAGCTCCGTTCAACTAGATGCTGAGCAAAACTCTTAGCTGGAACATCATGAACAGCGAAGACCATTGTGTGTACAAAGCCCAGCATCCCAGAACTACTCCATATTGCACAATTGCTTACTGTTATGCTAATGCTATGTTTGCCTAGCAGTCATCTAAAGGATCTGCTTCCTTTCTAGTGTCTATTATCCAATAATCTGAAGAAGCACTGCGATGCTTTAATAAAGCGCATGCAATGCATTACTTTTACAACTTGCACTTGATTTAAAAAATAAAATAAAAACAGAAACCTTCCAGCCTGGCTGTGGATTCCTAGATGGAATCTGTTTGCCAACGATGTGGGTTAAGTTTTACGCTCGATGTGAGGGATTGAAATACACACACAATTACAGGTGGATCTAATAGCTTTACGCATTCTTCTCCCTTTTCACTTCACTTTCTGTCATTTTCTCATCTCGATTCACTCTCCTAATTTCTTTCC